GCTCCTAAACCCCTAAAGGCTCCTAAGCCCCTAAACCGCAAGGCACTGCAACGGTTTGGTTTGATCAGCAGCTGGTCTTCGGCCACGTGGCCGACGGCGGCAAATGGCTGCACCCGAGCTACGACTGCGGGAGGCCCAGAGTCCTCCACCCCAAAAGCGGGTTAAGGGTCCGTTTGGAGGTTACGAGATCTCCGGACTTTTCTCTTGATGCAAAAAAGGCCTCCATTGAATGCGTCTTGATCTAATGCCGATACACCCGAACGGAGAAGTGTGTTCGCACTCCCCCTGCGCACCATGGTGTGCACTTCAAAGAGCTCAGATGATTCAGCAGAAAATTTCATCTTAAAATGGCTTAGACGCTGAGTGGCGTCTGCAGCTCAAGGCCTTTGTGTCTTGGGTCTTCGCGGACATATGCATCGCTCAAAACTTGGAGTTCTCATCACCTCCATCAGCTCACACGAGCTGCTTGAACTGAGATCTCAAACTCGGTGCGTCCAGTCCAGGAATCCTTCAGATAGCGGGCAGGAAGAGGACGAAGATCAGTGAAGTCGTCCTCAATGCTTTCTCGGGCAGTTGACGTAGCGAACTTCGCCAAGGTTCTCCTCCTTCCCGTAAGGGATTGCCACTGAAGAGTCGTAGGGATCCCAGTCGCACTCGGCACATACATCTTCCTCCGAGGTCTTGCATGGAAACGCACCAAGACCGAGCGTCGATGGTCCAGGTACCACATGTCGTTCCTCACAGTCGCAGGGATGTTTTGGTGAAAAAGACCTTCTGGTCCTCCCCACTCCGGAATTTGATCCTGCCACACGAAGCGAGGCGGCACCCTCAGCGTCCATCCCGGATATACCACCACACGCTCTCGCTCATTTTGATGTTGAACATTTGCAGCCTCGAACGGCGTCTTGCTGTCACAGACTTCGTCAGGCAAGTCAGCAGCAGTAGGCAGAGCCTCGTGGTTCTCGGACTCTTCTCCAGGGTCATGCGGATCAGGAGGTGTTGGAGCGCCAGCTTCTGCGCCAATGTCGTCCGGGGTTAGGGCACCCTTAGGGTCATCAGAGGCTGAGGCAGCCAAGGACCTGGAACCGCAACCGTAGTTACTCACGTCGTCGTCAGGGTTTACTTCGGGACCCTTAGGGATCTGAGAGGCCGGGACAGCCAACGACCTGGAACCGCACCCATAGTTACGTTCTCCAGACCTCCTATGCCTCAAACCACCCGCCTCTTCCCCAACCGTCTCCCCGAAGCCTTGTTCAGCCCGGAGCTCACTCCGAGTGTCAATCATGGACCACTCACTCATAGTGTCCTCATCAACTCCCCTCATGGCTCGAATCCTCGGGGCTTCCTCCTCACGGTCACGCTTACAACTCCACGCAAGCAAAGCAAGGGCACCGAAGACTGCAACCAAGCACGCCACAAGCTTCAACGTCTCAACAACACTCGTGTCCTCGGAGTAGTCGTCAAGTTCAACTTGCACTCTCACAAGCTTCGACGTAGCCTCACGCAACAACGATGCAACCGACAACATCCTCAAAGCTTTCACGGCTCCCCCGGACACAACTCCCCCGGTCCCAGTGCTAGGACCGGACACTGGAGAGATCAGAGCCTTTCGCTTATCATCGGACTCCCCCCCATCAGGACCTGATGGCTCGATTCTCATCTGCATCAGGTGCAAGAGATCGCGCACCCGAACACCTTGTAGCGGTTTGGTGCACAGGTCTCCAAGCATGAACTGTCCAGGGACATGATAGACACGAAACTTGGCATGTTCAAGTTGTTCAAAGAACCAAGCAGCCTTCAATCGAAGGTGACGGGTCCTCCAGGTGCCTTGCGGCATGTTCATCACCGTACATGCTCCCTGATTGTCGTTGTAGAGCAAGGCCTTTTGATCCTCACCAGAAAGCTCCTTGAGCAACGGCAGCAGTCCATATGCTAACGTCATTCCGTCCAGGCTGGCTTGTAGTTCGGCCTCTGCAGTCGAAAGACTGGCACAAGGCTGCCGCAAGCTAAGCCATGCGATGGGTGAATTTCCCCAGAGGATCACCAGCCCAGTCTGCGATTTGTCGGTACCAGGACAGAAGGAAGCGTCAGCAAAGACTTCTACCAGGTTGTCGCCACGATCTACTGGTAGTAGATCCCCTGGTCCACGTCCATCTCCAGGGCTGCCATAGCGCAGCTCATAATGGATGCTGTGTCGCAGGTATCTGACAGCGTCTTCCGCTCGCTGGATCGCCTGTTCCGTATCCTTGGTAATGAGCTGACCGATCCTGGACACAGCAAAGCTGAGGTCGGGTCGTGAGCGAGTGGCAACCCAGAGGATTTCTCCTACTAGGGCTTGTGCATAGCGAATCCTCTCAATGCTGGCGGTCGGCTTGATCTCCTGGTTCTCAAACTCCTTCGCGTAGGGCACGCTCACCTCGCCTTGGATGTTGGGGTACTTGTCCAGGAGGGAGCGTATGTATGACTGTTGTGACACACGCAAACCTGTGTCATCCTGATGCAGCTCGAAGCCGCAGAACTTCAGTCCATCCTTCGCCGTGGCATACACAGGCGTGCTGATTTTCCAAGTGCTCTGGATAGCCTCCCACACTGCAGCGGACACCTCAGCATCTGCCGACAGCAAGAGATCGTCGACGTACACAGACAGCAGAGCAAGAAGCTCCTGTGTCTGTGGACATCTCAGCATCCACATGTTGGCATCCGCCTGTGACCTTTGGAGATACATGGACTGCCCTTTCAGCCGAATCTCAATTGTGGGAATGACAGAATCTCGATGCGTCGCCCAAGCCGCCGGGCTCTCCTGGAGCCCGTAGATAGCACCAGTAACGAGCCAAAGCTCGTTGGGATCAACGATCCCGGCCTTCACCAGGGTATGGGGCGGCCTCAAGATCTTCCGATGGCCAGGTTGCACCAGCGGCGCGAGCAGAAATGCTGTTCGAATGTCCCCTCCACTCGTCACCCATCCATGTGTAGTGGCTCGTGCCCCCGCAAACTTCATGTGGCACCTCAGACCCAAGGTATCGGCACCACCCGCATAGTTCTGGAACCGCTTCTCCTTCGACTTGCTGCCGGCATCTTCAGCGAAGTTGCCGCAGGCTACTACTCTAACCTTTTTACGGCCAGCACCCGCCTTGATTTGGAAGAGGGCCTTTGCAGGAAGATACTCGATCACATCGCCAGCTTCCTTGAAGGCCGTGACATCCTCGTTGGTAATTTTCCGAAGCGTGCGATGGATATCAAAGATGCTGCCCAGCTCTTCACAGGCTGGACCCCTCCACTCTTCAACATGCTTGAGGACTTCGGCATGAGACACTGCCACAGTTTGCAACACCTGCGCCGGTTCGGCCTGCCAAGCTTGGGTCTCAGGATCAAGGGCTTTTTCGTCTTTCCTTCCGACTCCCCCCGATCCAGGGTCATCTGGATCGTGGTCTGCGTAGAGGCCCGTCCAAGTTTGAGCCTCCTCATTTTCAGAAGAAACCCCCAAGCTCCTAAGCCTAGCTTCCAAAACACACCGCTCATCCGAAGTCACATGTGGATTGCTCAACTGTTGTTTTGACACATAGTGCAACAAACACTCCTCAGTGTCGTTAATCCAACAATGAAGATCACGAAGATGTGAAGTCTCGTGATCCCAGCCCTCGCATGCAGCAATGCCTATTTCTTCATGTAGATGCTTCTGTTGCTCAATCAACACCCTTCGAAGTATGCAATGTTCGTGTTGCAGTTGCTCAAGTTCTAGCTCGGTTAACGCGCCTTCACAGAGGCGCGGCTCCTCCGAGCCACCGTCTCTGGCTTCCACTTGCATGGATCCATCAACATCCGTAGAGAATGGTTGAGGACTAGAGCTAGGACCAATGCCAGAGAGACACGGGAGGGGGAAGCCTAATGTAAGGAGGTGGTGCTGCAGGTCAGAGGACAGGGCATCGACGGACCTAGGAGTGTACCCTACCAGAACTCTCCTACTCCCCTCAGCCTTCTCAACCGAATGCCTCAATGAAGCATCAAACCATAACACCTCCGAGTCACCCCCAACCAGCCTCCCAACAACCTTTTCACCCCGAACTTCACGAACCTGAGACGTTTCTCCCTCCAATGGTGGACCCTCAATCCAAAGCCGCCCTTTACGGAACCTACTAACCGGAATCAACAGATTGAAAGACCCTTTCTCATTGTTGTCTCGATGTATCTCCGATGCGAAACCACTGGTGACGCGAACTGAAGCCCAGCTACCAGGACCTCCTTCCTGTTTCATGAAGCGGTTGATGAGCCGAGTCAGCATGGGTCGCTTCAGGGTTTCCTTCGTTATTCCAATCTTAGGTCCATACCTATAAAACCCTAAAGTCCAACCCATCGCCCCAGTACCTTGAAGAGACCGATCCTGTTTCCGGGTTTTCGGGTTCCAGCTACACAAGGAACTTGCAAGAAGATCATCAAGCTCCTCGCGATCAATCCGCTGATCCGATTTCAAGAAAGCCTCAGCTCGAGTTTCACTTTCCTCGACAGAGAGTTTGCGCTGCGCCTCCAATCCACACGAGCTGCAACTAGGAGTTGCACCAGACATCTTGACGGACGCTTCACAAACGTAACATCTAGCCTCTTCAGACCACATGTTGAAAACCGACGGGTCTCTTTCTCCCTCACTGCTCTCATTCTCTTCCTTCTCTCGAGGCACTTGATGCACCAGCCATTCAGAGTTCGATTGCACAGCATCATGATCATCAACGGCCCCAAAACCCTTTTGTAACTCCGACTCCCCCCCCGTGTCGACTGAGACACGGGCCTCCACAGGACGCTTCCCAACGACGCGACGACGAGGTGGAGAGACAGGTTGACCCTCCGCAGCCTCAAAGTCGGGAGGATCCTTAACGCCCTCGTACACGACCGGCGCCACATGAAACCTACAGCCCGCTTGACCCGGAAGGGGCGGCAGCTTGATCACGGTACATCCCGAAATGTTTGCCGCCGGGCAAAGGACTTCTCCGCGGATGGCCCGTGGGGCATAAGGTGTCTTCCGTGACCAGTTTCTGCTTTGAACAACAACGCTGGCACCAAATGGAGGGAGCTTGCGCTTGGGACCCGGACCTCCCAACGTTTGCATACTCATCCAGAACCGTTGTGCCGTGTACTGCCGCAAAGCAGAAGGCCAATGCTCCCGACCAATCCCTGGTTGCGCTCGCAAAAGAGCCCGAATCCCAGCCTTCACCTGACCCACCGTGCCTTCAATTCGCCCATTAGCCTTCGGATCAGACGGCGGACTATACGTAGGATGTATATCCCGCGAAGCACACCACCCCCGAAAAGCCGCGTTCGCGAACTCCCGCCCCCCGTCAGAGTGAACACGCCGCACCGCGAGATTAAGAAGGGAGATCCGCGCATGGATACGTTGCACGGCCCTGAGCACCTCAGCACCGCGCTTGGAGGCTAAAGGCTCAGTGAACAGCAGGTTGTGAAGCTTCACCGGTTTCTGCAAACCCTCGGCTATAGCTCTCCACTCCTCTTCTTGCTCTTTCTGAAGGTTGGCAAACTCCTCTGGGGTCATTCTCTCTTCCTCTTCTTCTCCCTCAGGGGTTGGGTCCTCCAGGATCAATGGTTCAGGATTTTCGATGGCGCCGATGCCTCCACCGTCATCTTCGTCTCCCTCTTCCTTTCTCTCTCCCTCGTCCTTTCTTTCTTTTTCTTCATCTTCGGCTTGGAGCACTTGAGGCCTTCCATCCTTGTACACAGGGACGCCGAGCGTGCCAACAAGTATGAACTTTGCTGGCTTGGTCAGTGCATGATCTTGTCCAGCAACCCAAGGGCCAATCAAATCAAGAGTCAAACATAGCGCGTTGGCATGAGCATGGCGCTGTCTGAGATGTCGCGGCCCCCTCATTGCTGCTTCCAAACACACACGACAGTCCCGTCTAAACACTACATGATCGGTCTCGCAGTGCTTCCGGAACTCCTCTTCCTCACGTGTCAGTGCTTGCAACGCTACTCGTTCTTCCCCCTCAACCTCACGTCGCTCCAGATCCGAGGTTCCTATCCACTCACGAATGGCTCTAGACACCCTATGACTCAATCCTGGAGCCCATTGCCCCCTTTTGTGACCCCAGCACCTCTCAGAGATACCCTCACGGTGTCTTTCCCCCTTGTGGCCATGCAACAATGTGAACAGTTTCCAAGAATTAGTGAGGACTCCCGTGGGCTGCCGCCCCTCATGGCCAAGCGGTCCCTGATCAAACTCAGCTAGGAAGAATTTGCGATGTCGTGCGCTCGAACACGGACTCCCCCCTTCCAGGAGGTTCCTGATCTCAGGCCAGGCCCACACCGACGGGACCTCATCCTTACAGCGATCTTCCGACATATACTTCAAAGGGTCCTGTGGTTGTTCCAAAACCAAAAGACTCCCATCATCCCTGGACTCATCGGCTAAGTGATGCAGTACCATGGTGCGGAAGAGAAGCACAGACTCGTCTTCAACTGCTTTCTGCTCTTCTGGACTGTTGGATGCCAATCCAAACCGAGTACCATCCGTCCTACCCCGACGTAGCCTAGGTCCTCCCCCGTTCACTCCAACCTCCTTCCCCCAGTTGTACGTGCTCCTTGGGGGACTAGCTACTACCGCCGCAACTCTTCCGGACGCACACAGAGTAGCTAACCAAGAGAACGTGCTTTCATCTAGGAGGTCCCTGCCCTTCAGAACATCTACATTGAGGACCGTGGTACGATGACCAAAAGAGCTCACGGTCTCCACAGAGGTCTTGCCAGAGAACAGATGCAATACAATGTGACGCGACCTGGCCAGAGCCTTGCGCCCTCTCCGGTTGAGACTCATGAACACGCTTGCGCCTTCAGGAAATGCATCACATCGCGAAGGAATTGATCTGGATGTCAGCCACTCAGGCCCGAGTGGCGCGAACTCCCTCAGCCACTTCATGAGCTTCTTCTCCGAACCCCATGCAGATTTCACATCCTCACTCTCAACCCCTATTTGCAACGCCCTCAGCTGCAGTGCTTGCTGTAACTCGTTGTTCCGATGCTGCTCCAACTCCTGTATCAATCGTAGGCACAACTCTTCTGGTACAACAGGACAGGCATCGACCAAAGTCGATGGAAGCACTCCGATTCTGGGGTGTGTGATGATACAGTTGTTTCTGCTCCAGCTGACACGACAGCCAAGTTTTTCAATCAGAAGGCCTAGAGGGCAGATAGGGGATATCGGCTCAGGAGACAGAATGGTGTTCAGGGGAGAGATCCTGAGCTGTTGTGCGCCCACGGCTAATGAAACCCGAACAGGAGCCGCTAACTCCCATTCCCCCGGCAGTGCACTTCTCAGCGGATGCGTGGCCCCACCGTCCAACAGTCCAGTGGGCGCTCTGATCCTACGTGCAATCACCTGTGGTACCACAATCTCTCCATCACTCGCTCTCTCCTCTCTGTTTTCTTCTCTCTCCTCAGTGCCCTCATCTCTGGCTTGAATCTCCAGACAGTGATCCCTCTGATCGCTCTCATCCTCCTCTGGAACCTTTAGTGCAGCGATACGAAGCGATCTGAGCAGATTCTGAGCTTCCTGAAGAACTTGCGTCTGCGCATCAGCTACTCCACTCCCAGGCTGAGCCGAAGCTGCCTTGGCTGAAGGACCACCCAACGTGGAACTGCCCTTAGTTGCACTCTGACTTTCGGCCTGAGTCCTGGCGGCCGTCGCAGATGCACTCTCATTCGCCGTTGCTGGATTCGAAGGACCGGTTCCCGGATTCTGCCCATGATTTTGCGCCGAACTACTCCCGGACTCCCCCAAAGGCTTGCCTTTACACTTGCCCTTAGGCCGAGTACAATCAGATTGCCGATGTTGATCCGAGCCGCAGTTGTAGCACCTAGATTGTTTTGTCGAACTGGAAAAATCATGCCAATCCCTGCATTCCCGACCCTTCACACAGCCCTTGGAAGTGAGATAAAACCGGCAAGGATTCCTAGAGGAAGCACCCTTACCAGTACTCTCCGCCGAGGCGTCCTGAGTTTTTCCCTTCCCCTTGTTCCCCTTGCCATCTGTCCCACCCCCTCGGTTGTCAGGTTTATCCCCCTTTTCATTTCCCTTCGGTTGAACTCCCATCCCGTTGTCAAGCTTGTGGACTTTTGGGGCTCCTTGAGTGGGCTCAGCTCCCGATACAGCCACCTGCTCCCACTCACTTTGAAGAATGCGCATGAACTCCACTACCGACGACATCGTTGGGTTGTGATCCAATCGGAGAAGATTGCGGGCCGTGGAAATGCGAAATGCCACTTGAGCATGCACAGGCTTTCGAAGAAGCTGCTCTCCCAGAGTGTCGACTCCACGGAGGATGAGTGCCGGGTCTGGCACAACCACTGACATGGTGCGCGCGCGAGCGTAGCACCGACTCCAAGTTCTAAGCGCTTGTACCGCCTCCCCCGCAGTTTTGGCCGTCCCCAAACTAGTCAGCTCCCCCAGAACCTGCGCCCGTTCCTGAAGCCCTCCTGGACCGTAAAGCTTCAGAACCTGAAACAACAATCCCACGCAACGCAGCGAGCGTGAAGCAAGAAGCTCGTCCCGTATGACCGCTGGCACAGCCGCTTGGAGCATGCCATAAGCACGACTTTCCAGACGACGGAATCTCATGTGGGACAGCTCTGGGCTCAACTGCGAAGTTATAGCCCCCTTTTCGATGGCAGTAGCCTGGAACCAGCGATCGTACAAAACCTGGGCCTCCCACTCCACACGCTGCCACCAGACCTGTGAAAGTTCCGACAGGTCGTAGAGGAGAGGCCTAATTTGGGCCAGCCAATCAGCAGCACGGGTAGCTGCAGAAGGCAGATCTGGGTCACCCAAAGCGGGCAAGGTCCAAAACGTCTTATCTCCAGGAGCAAAAGGATCCCGGCCGCCCGTATGGCCACCCAAATCCGTCCAATCCCATCCCTTCCAAGGATCCCCATTCCCCTCTGATGCACAACCTCCCAGATTCCTCGATGTTCCCATTTTTGTGGGCAAGGCGGTTTCCTGTCTCGGATAATAGCCCGAAGTGGCACCATGAGACCCAATCCCAAACTCACTGCTCATTGCGCTTGGCTGCAATGGACTTCCACTGAACATCATACCCCTCCCATCACTATCTCCTATCCCAACAGTTGATCCATGCCTAAAAAACTGTTCAGCTCTTGGGTCCCTCGAAGCCTGAGGCGGTGGAGGTCTAAGCAAAGACTGAAACCAAGGCGTGGGAGGAGCTGGCGGCACTGGAAAGTTTACCTCACGAGCATCACGAATGCCACCAAGGTGAAGTTCAGGCGCTCCCGGAGGGATTGGTGTTCCATGAGGAGTGGTGTTCAATCTCTGAGCCCGCTCAGCCGAGAGCGGTGGAGGTTCTGGGCTTCTCTCTCTAGTCTCCCTTCCTACGTGATCAAAACCACTACCACCCTGAAGATCTCGCACCGAAGGAGGGGACATCGCAAGGTCCCAGTTCCTTTCAATCTCCAAAGCCTCCTTAGCAGCATTGTATCCCTTCTCAAACACCCTTTGGTACTCCACAGATGAGACTTGTAAGGCTCCAGGGTTAGGCATAGGATCAGATCTCGAAGTGGGGTGCTCAGCATTCGGATGGGGAGGGATGAACCTACCTAGTTCACCCTCACCCCAGCCCTGAACTTGTTCACCCTCTCCTACAGTGGCCTCAAAACCCTCAGGCACTCCGCCGGACGCAGCGGACCTCCAAGCATCCTGACTTCCCACCTTGTCGTCCTCGAGCTTCTCCAGCCGCTGACGAAGAACTTCATTCTGGGAGGTCCGTTCCTCATTCCGCTGAACAACGCTCTCAAGAATCTGCTTCATCTCTCGAAGGACCTGTCTCTCTCCCAGCGACAAACCCGAGGGCTCACTCGCAGGAGTCTCAGATCGCGCTGGTTGGGACACCGTGGTTCGAACTGCACCTGTCGGCTCCATCGCCGTCTCTTCAGGCCTCCGCAGTTCAGTCGATGGCGTCGACGGTTCAGGCTGATGATCGCTGATCTCAGCCTCGCCCAGGAAATCCGGCCTCATCCTCCGCAGCTGGGTTTCCTCTTGGGCCCTCTGAGACCAGAACGGATTGACAGCAGATTCAGTGCCCATCGCCCCGCTCCCAGTGGTTGCTTCAGCAGCATCATCCAGAGCCGGCACCTGTGTGCCCTGAGCTCCAGTGTCTACCTCTCTGCCACCAGGTTCTGACGATGTAGCAACCGCATCTCCAGAATCTTTCGTTTTTCCGTCACCAACCCCTTTTCCTGATCTCTTACGCAATGCTAGAGAATCCATGACTAATAGCGGATCGCAGCTATGGCCCTTGGGCTCATAACCTCCGTTTGGAGGTTACGAGATCTCCGGACTTTTCTCTTGATGCAAAAAAGGCCTCCATTGAATGCGTCTTGATCTAATGCCGATACACCCGAACGGAGAAGTGTGTTCGCAAAGGGTTTAGGGTTTAGGGTCCTAAAGGAGCTCGGGTTCAGGGTTGAGGGTCCTACGCCCCAAAAATGCCCCAAAAGGAGCTCGGGTTAAGAGTTTAGGGTCCTCCACCCCAGAAGCCCCAAAAGGAGCTCGGGTTTCGGGTTTAGGCTTTAGGGTCCTACACCCCAGAAGCCCCAAAAAGGAGCTCCAAGTTGAAGACCCTAAACCTCAAATCCTAAACGGCTAGGGGTTACAACGAGTCCCTTTCAGGGTTCCTTTCAGCTTCTTTTTTTTTGTCCTTGTCTGCCAGGGGTTATATGAAGTGCCTGTAGATCCTAATACCAAGCCCTTGGGGGGCCCTTTAGGTTCAAAGGGTCTTGAAGCTTGGGGCTGGGCTTTGACATGCAAACCTTGAGCCCCAAACTTCAACTCTTTGAGCCCTACGCCCGAAACCCAAACAGCCCTAAACCCCAAACCCTAAGCCCCGAAGCCCACATGTATGAGCCAGAACCTCAAAAGCTCCGAAGGGACAACGTCCCGGTGCCACCGCCGGGCGAGCGCGATAGGAAGTGGGAGGCCCTGGTGGAGTCACGGAGTCACCGTCGTGAACCTCCAGTCGGCGAACGCTTTCCCTGCTACCGGGCACTAATTTGGGGTTAAAGGTTTACGTGGGCATACGATTTGGGATTTGTAACATGCAGGATTTCGCGTCGCAGGGTTCAGGGTTTGGGGAGTTAGGGTTTAGGATACTGTCTTTTGTCTGGGTTGCTTCTTGCAGGTCTCGTTGTTGAGCTGAACTACGTAATTAGCAGACAAGGCAGCGAGCGAGTAGCAGAAGACAGCTAGGATGGCGAGGAACAAGAACGACAGTCGTAGCACCTGCAGCGGAAGCATCAGCTCATCAGCAGGATGAGCTGCAGCAACACTTGCACAGCACTGCCAGCGGCTATGTCACCATCAACATCACCATTAACATGAACATCCGCATCAGCAGCAACAGTAACGACCGACAGGAACAGCAGCATCAACTACAACTGCTTCAGCGCCAGCACTAGCACCAGCCCTTCACCACTACCACCAAGACTACGACTGCCACTAGCAACAGCAGCTGCTCCTACTAAGCTACTCGGCTATTGCCCTGCTCATACTACGAGGACCACTTCTTGTGCTTTTGCTACTGTGGCTGCTACAGCTACTGCCACGGCAATAACAACATCAACAACAATTGCCACCACTAATGCTCCTCCTCCTCCTACTCCTACTCCTACTCCTAATCCTACAACTACCACCACTACTACTATTATTACTACTGCTGCTGCTACTACTGCTACTGCTACTGCTACTGCTACTACTACTACTACTACTTCTTCTTCTGCTACTACTACTACTACTACTACTACTACTACTTGCTACTACTACTGATACTCCATTCACGGCAGTCTATCATGAAGCTGGCCAAACTGGGCCGAACACCTCAACACAAAGGTGCTTAACAGTCGCCGTTGGTTGTGCTCGCTCCGCCTCAATGATTGCACACACCGGCTGGACACACACCTGGACTACAATTCTAAAGTGCGATGAAAATGGCAACCACGGGGCCTCCCCTGGCCCCAAATTAGCACTGGTAAAACCCAAACGGGGTGTAGGGAGACCCACCGAACCCGATTTGGGTCCCACCGTACAGAAGAGCTCGGACCCAACAGGTCCCACCAAGCCCCTGTCGGGTTTTGTTGTAGAGAAGGGCTGGGACCATCACGATGACGTCGGGCCACAACTGTGACGGCCACCTTTTGTCTGCCGCTGTAGTGCACCTGGTGCGTTTCGCCATTCAACATCCGTTTCTTCCACTTTGCGTTCCATTGCGACGGTGCATGTGATTTTGTTGCCGGTTTTCATATCGATGGGTTCTCCGTGTCGAAGTTTCTTGCCGTATGATATTGTGATTTTAAGCATACTAGTTGTCGTCATGCGTGTTGCTCCCAATGAACCCTACATAAACCCAGAACCAACACCCTGAACTCGAACCTTTCCACCAAGGCTGGTGCTGCCACTGGATTCGACTGGTCCGCCAGCGCCACGCAGAGGGCTGCGTTATTTGCTGCACCGTCTCAAACATCTTCTCACACGAGCCTCGGATTTTCGTTAAGATTGTTTGAAGAACCCTAAACCCTAAACCCTAAACCCCAAGCCCCCGTGGCCGAACCTGCAGGGCAAACCCTGGTACTGGTAGAAGCCTTGATCGAACCCGCATGAAGGTCCCAGGCATCACCTCATGTAGACACCAGAGAAATCCCCATCTAATTCTCGTGTAACACCACAACCCCAAACCGAGCAGCCAACAACCCACAATCCTGAACCCTCCACTCTAAACCCTGTTTTTGTATACATACATATATGTAACAATATGATAACTAATTATGTGTGTGTATATTATATATATATATATAAACAGATATAGAGAGATATCGATCGAAGCCCACACGATCAAAGAGAAGCCGAGACCTGGGTGGAGCGATTCGGTGCTGGATCGTCGGAGCTTTCGGACGAAGTGGCGGATCAGCTGCAGCTGCCCAGGATGCTCGGATGCTTGCTAGTAGTATTCTTAGTTTTCTACGAAGTACAACAGTGATAGCAATAAGAAGGACAGTAGTTGTAACTATCACAATATGATTTGAGAATTCTCGGATGTTTCGGGCTTGAGGGTGTGTACAGGCGCAATTTAGGGTTTAGGTGTTAGGGCCGTAGTAGTTTCTTTGTAGGCCTTCAGAAACGTTTTTTACAGGTGTCGTTGAGGGGGTTTACAGGGTTTGAGGGTCTTTTGAATGGACGGGCTTGGCAGACAATGTTATGTGTCCTGCTCCGACGTGGTGGCTTTCTGTGCATTTTGATCAAATTGAAGAGTGTGATGAATATTCTTGTTATACTGAATGTTACGATGGTCGTCGCCAAGATCTGAACCCGGGTCATGGTTACGGTGGTTAACATCACGGCTGCGGCGTTTAAGGTCAGGCTTTACCCCATGTCGCAGGGTATTCAACCGGCCCTGAATCGTTGAGGGCCACAGGCCCCAAGCAAAACCACAAAGCCTTCTTGATCCTAGCCCAAGCCTAAAGCCCTGCTCCAGAATTCTGATCCATCTCCCAAAGTCCGTGAACTAGAACCCTGAGCCCTCAAAGCCTTAAAGTCCTCAACGTTAAGCCTTCCTTCAAGCCCTTAGTGGCCTAGACGTCTCCACCCCTCATCCCTAAGCCCTAAACCCTAAACCCTAATAAACCCTAATAAACCCTAATAAGCCCTAGTAAACCCTAGTAAACCCTAATAAACCCTAATAAACCCTAATAAACCCTAAGAAACCCTAATAAACCC